GTTCTACACGTTTCGCCTCTAGACTTGAGCTCGAGAAGCACGTCTTTACATGGGTTCACGGGGCGCCCAGGAACAAAGGTACCCACGGCCCCTGTAAAAGTGCAATCTAGGACAGAGAGGTTTGGGAGGGTGCGTGCTTGTCTTAGAGAACTGGCGTTGATGGTACAAATTCTCTGGGATATCTTCGTTAAAGTCGGAGATGTGTAATTCGGTAAGTAGATATTGTGTTGAGAGGAAGGACACAAGATGCGCGTCCCAACAAAAGTCGCAGTGGAAGGTGTAGAGCCGAAAACTGCAGTTTCCCAGTATCCAGGCGTATCTCAAGGGAATGCCACGGCTCAGATGGATGCGGAGCGAGCGTAGACGCATGGTTCTTTGAAGTGCTCTGGAAACAGATGTCCAATAGTCGGATGGAGGGAAGAAAAGGTCGTGTGCTTGAGAATTATTGTATGACTCTTCTTCATTTAGGGAGATTGTGAACGCGACGACCAGCTGCGATAGCCTTGGTTTCTCGGACAAAAGGTTGCAGAGCATGATTGTGGCGGAAGGGCTCGCTCACATCCAGTGACCGATAGAGCTCACGTTCAGAGGCAGTTCGAAACCTTTTGGAGACCAAACAAAGGGTGCACAAGTCTGCCCGCCTTTCGATATGCCGCGCGATTGGTGAGTACATCTCCTGAGGAAGCTCCATGCATAGAGAAGCATGGACCTACTAAAAAGCTGGCAACGCATCAGTGGTTGGTTGAACAAAGACCACCTCTCGTCAAGATTTTTTTAAAACAGGTCACGCACAAAATGGAAGAACACCGCAAGCGCCACCCAAGGCCACCCCACGCTCGCACAGTCACGACCAAAATTGAGACGGGATACTCCTGGTGCCGGTGAATGATAAATGGCGGGTGTCAAGAAAGCAGAACGACGGCCTTCGGGGGTTCAGGTCGTATCAGGTGGTTATGGTGTCTGGAGTGACCGATATGCAGCAGTACACGAGGCAGGGCGGAGGAATAAACAGCCAGACTCGGAGTGGGTTGCCTCGCACGTGCGACATTGATAGCCTGAAGTGACCCGAGTCAACGGAACGGCAGTCCCAACTTCCAAGAGAGATCCGGCGTAGGTGGACATACCCACTGCACTCAAGAATGATGCCTCAAAACCTGCCCAGTCACCTACAGCGGTTGGTCTTTTTGCTCCAGAGTTTCAATTACGTGCTTGGAACCAAGGATATGAGGTCGCTTCGCTTACTAGAAAAGCGCGGGCCGCGGCAAAGGCGCCTGGGCCTGCGGCGTATTCCGAGGGGCTCAACTGTCGACGCGGAAGAAATCGACTATCGCAAACTTGATCGCAAAACATCGCCTGGTAATAACTTTTGCCAGTGGACGAGATGCCCTCGTCGTGATATTTTGTGTTATCAGTGGCAGCGCGATGTCTACGAGGTCAGGCACTGCGCGCCTCTTTACCCCGCCTGGCATCCCAGACTCTGACAGTTGGCGCCGACTCGACCGACATCATGCCAATCACTTCTCGTGCCGGTTTCACGGATGAATTGGATGCGGATCTGTGGATTCTCTGTGGAAGTTCGTGTGACAATTCTACAGATGGAGACCAAGACTGAGACCCCTTGCCTCGATCGACTCGCACCGTGACCACGCCTCAATAGGCCTCAATACTCAGTGGCAGCCGACAGCTTCGATTGAACTCGTTTCAATAAATGAATAAATTTCAATACAGAGACGTGGTTCTGGCCTAGCTAGCTACCGTAAAAGCACGGTTGAAATTGTAAATGAAGAGCGTTCATTACGTCTTGTAGTATACTAGAAGAATACTATGGTCATATGGCATCCGCAAAAAAATGCGATAGATGTAAATCAGTTTCGAGCGCGGAGAGTTACTCTAAGAACAGAAGGCAGAAGCCTTGAAATTTGATGAAAAGCGAACCAGCTCACCTGGTTCCCAGACTGTTCGAGGCCACGCGCACGTCCCCCCGACACATTACTATCTTACGATACTGCAATTGATTAGGCGAAGAGACGGCCGCCAACCACTTGGAAGAGAACCGCCTCACCCCCTCGCGTTCGAATGGAATGGAACGGGTCGTATGGACCAAGCAAGGGACCAAGTCGCGTCTAAGTATGTGTCATCTCGGTGTACCAATCGCCTTTCTGCAATTTTTTTTCGGATTTCTGCGGAGTGGAGTACACATATACTGTATTTATTTGGGTGGGCATCAGCGCTCAGAAATCGTGATCATTGAGCCCTGAGTCGCTGACCCGAGTTCCGATGTAGGTGGAGCCAGGAGCCACGTAGGTGAAGCCCTAAATTACACTAGAGAGAGGGTAAAGAGCGACCAGCGCAAAACGGCCCAGTGATAAATGCATCGGGGTCACTCCAGCTTCTCCAGAGCATCTAATCTGGACAGCACTACGTCTTTACTCGTCTCCTCGATCTCCCCCGCCAGGAAAATTTCGTCCAGAATCGCGTAAACCTTATGCATGTCCACCGATATGAAACGAAATGAGTGGATAGAAATGGCGCACCTTGTAGAAATTGAATACCAAGTCCAGCTCACAGACATTGTCAAAGAAGGAATCTTCATTTACGCACGTCAGGATCTTCGGGGGCCTGTCTGAGAACGGGATACTGCGCACCGAGGATCTCAACAAAGAGATGAATTGCCTCCAGGTAGGCTAATTCATTGTCATTCGCATCAACACATATGCAGAAGAAGAGGCCAGCATAGCGACGGTATACAATCTTGTAATTCCTGAACTGAAAGTAACAAGGTGATCAGCATAGGGCTTAAGGGGAGCAGTGATGGCATCTGCAGACCTCAACGAAGTTTGACTGGTACTTCTGGTCGCGGGCGGCTACGACTCGATGCACCTCTCCACGCAGACGGAGCTGTGACCCGATGCATTCATACGACAATGTCCTCTTGGATACAAGAAAGCGCACCTTTTCCTCATCATCATATGGGACATACCACTTCGACAAACGCGTCTTGCCTTGACGATTCTGAGCGTGGCAGATAAATCAACGAATAGGATACAGGACACCGAAGGTACCTGGACAAGGATGAACCGAATCATAATGTCCGTTTAGAGCGGTGTTGAGTTGAATAACTCAACCTGAATAACCTCAGCCTTTGATTCGGTGATGTGGGGCCGGATTATGTCATCACAAGACGATATCACGTGAGTTTGACGATACGGAGCTCCTCAGGCTGTAAAAAGTAAAAGCAACATATTCCTCCCAATTTTCTCCGTCCGTGGACGTCACACATCTAAAACCAGGTCTGAACTCAGTTGTGGGAGGACGCTCAACTGAATATTTTGTGTCGGATAAGGGGTTTTCGAGAACAATGAAAACCCCAATTCGATCTTCGTTCGCTACCCTCACGGTCTTGCCAACAGCAGTGCGAACTTGAACCGTCGATCCAATTCCGATTCACATCGGCCTCCAGTGTCCAGTTCGATTGTTTAACGATGCAGTAAACATTATTCTCTACGACTTTGACCGTTTCCTCACGTCATTATTTCTCAGCAGGTCAGCAGCAGGTCAACTCGGACTCGAAGCACTGTATACCAACATGTCCATCTGTGTCCGACTAATAGAACTGTTCGGGCACTAGTCACCCCTTTGAGCGCAGGGCACAACCGATGGGTGGTACATGACCGGAGCTAAAGTACAAACACAGCGCTATGTAAGTGAGCAACTCGCAACTAATTGCCTGACTATTGCGTACATTTTCTGTCGCTCTGTAGCAGCTTTCTCAGGGCATTCTTCACAACTGGTGGCCCTTCCCAGCGCCAGCACTATTAATGGTTTGGTCAATCTACTAGCTGATTCCTTACTTGACCCCATTTCCACGTATTAGGCTTTTGCGTTTTGACGTGGACGCCCGCTTCGTTGTAGATCAATTAGGAAAGCCGTTGACTCGCTAACCCACAAGAGGTCTACTGATGCTAAGAATGACGTTCCCCGATAATCTTATTGGGCGGTGACCACTAGGAGGAGCCAATCATCAAGGCGCTCTGACGGTCATAGTAGCTTGGCAAAATTTTGCTTCAAGTGTTGCGATGCCTTTGTGCGCATGCATGATATTCCTTATTTTTCACTTCACCCAAAGGCGTTCGTCGTAAGTATTGTCGGCTAGTCCCAACTAGTCCTCCCTCACAGGCTTTTAATCCTCCTATAGAGCGAACACACTCATCAAAGCGGTCACCGTGAGATTCGGCGTGAGCGTGCTTCACCCTGTTTGTAAGCCATAGCTATTACAAATGACGTCATTCATCGCTGGAGCTCCGCAGATGTTCTCTGCCGTGGCAGCATGGTATTCATCAAATGATTTTCGTGCTGTCCTTTGTGTTTGCCAATGCGCCACTCTGACTTTAGGGAATACTCTCGATTGTAGTCTCCAAGACACCGAATGTGAGTCCCACCAGTTCTTCACTGTAATCCCGTTGTATTTAGCCCCGACTCCATGAACTCTAGGTCCGGTTGTCATGGACAGGTCAGCTGCAGGGAAGAAGACCCGCAACTACGTAGCAGCCATTAATGACTCGGATGGTAACCGAGAGTGTCCAGCCAGCATCAACCTCATACCACGATAGAAGATTTCGAAGAGTGGATCTTCCTCAGCATGAACTAACTCTTATTCTGGATGTGCCTTGTAGCCAGTCTAGATGGTACAATAGGACCAGCTTGGCCTATACAAGCATGCTTAGAAAATGCGTGATGGAGATATCGGAGAGATTAAATCGATCGGACCTTGACTACGACGTTGCTACACATTAGGGAAGAACGACGTCACCCAGCTCGACACTCACAATGCTGAACAGCTTTGTGGTTCTCTCCGCATCGCCTGTGCAATAGGCAAGTAACACCATGCTTTCCTTCAAGTTGTGAACTTTTCTTACGAAGGCATCGGGTTCCATCCGAGTCGGTGTTGTGTTGAGACAAAAAGCGCGCATTAGCAAGTGCACTCTTGAAGTGCCCTAGTGTGCCCACTGGCTGGATCGAACAACCGACCTCATCATTACGAGTGACTGCGCTCTACCACTGAGCTAAACGGGCCAACACTTTTTCAGATGACCGGATACCCGTTGCGAGGAATTGCTGTGCCAAAATCAAGGCTCGCCTAGGGATGGAGTGGATTGTCGCTGAGTCACGGCCCGACTAATCCACGACCCAGCGCTCTCATTAATCGATGCCAAGTAGCTCCGATACCACGTAGTCCTGTTCGTTTACTCGCCTTTTCCTTTACGTCTTGCGCCTCGCTCGAGCTTCGAGGCACGTTTCATGACTATTTCAGAAGTGGAAGAACCAGAAAACCAGGGCAAAAACAGGGTAGAAAAAGTACTGGCAGCCGGGGATCAAAGTGCTCCGAGTCCCGGATCCAAATCTTATCGTGAGTAAATCATACGTTTCAAGGGGTGCGCAATATACTGTAATGGGTCATGTCATGTCACTCGTGTTCTGCGGGTTTTCTCACTGTATATTATGTAGGATGTGGGCGTGTTCTTCTCAAACTACCACCTGCTATTGCCTATGGTTGAAGGCGAAACTCACGGTTCCGAGCCTCCCGTGTTAACTCCAGACGTCGAGTGCACAGGGCAAGGCACAGGGCCTACACATATGGAGAACGGGTCTATGGAGTCCAATCGGACAGTGACACCAATTACGAAATCCCGAAGCCCAACTAATTTTGGCATCGTACCACTTCCCAAGAGACTTGTCCACGACCCGGAGTGCCCTGCGCACTTTGGCCTGCTGTTAAACGTGGTCTTTGGCTTGTCGAGCACGTTCAGTACGTCTGTCGAAACACGTGGAGTCAGCTAAACCATTGATGATATCGAAATACAGTTGTCGCCAATCTGTACTATTGCCAACCGCTATTGAGTCTGTCATTTCTTTTGTGACGGAGAGTGTCTTTATGACTTCTCATGCAGTTGAATTTGCCAAGTCATTCAACGTAACGTATGGTGAGGTGTCAATGTAAGTTTCACTGACTGTCTATGATGTCCCTTGTCATTTTGTTCACACTGAGAGCTCACAAAACCGTTCAGAATCCCAACCCTTGTCCAAGCAGGGTGCGTCATCAGACGAGTTTCCAAAGAAGTATCTCACCGTCTACTTCAGTTACGCCTCTGGACTTCTTCTCATCAGCCCACTTGGCGACCTTGTAAAACGGCGACCCCTTCTCCTACTCCTCTGCTCAATCAGCGCAAGCTTGACCGTTGGCCTCGCCGTCACGCGCTCGCTAGTAGTCTTTGAGACACTTTGTTTCCTCATCGGTGCGACGAGTGTGGCCCCGCAGATCCTCATTCCCCTCGCGGCTGATCTCGCGCCGCCGTCCAAGCGTGCGTCGGCCATATCGATCGTCCTCTCCGGTTTGCTGTTTGGTATTCTCATAGCCCGGGTTCTCGCGGGTGTCATCGCACAGTACGCGACGTGGCGCGTTGTATACTACTTGGCGATCGGCGTTCAATGCGCAGTAGTTGCGATGCTCTGGGCGACGCTTCCGGACTATCCGGCGAAGAATAGAAATCTCACGTATTTCGAGATCATCTGGACTATGGCTCGCCTTGCCGTCACAGAGCCCGTGCTCATACAGGCCTCCCTCATTTGTATGGCCGCGAGCGCGTGCTTCACCTGCTATTGGGTGACTCTGACCTTCTTACTTGGTGGACCACCATATCATTATTCAACGTGGGTAGCGTCACCGGATCACATGGCATACCTTTTATCTAATCTTTTCCTATCGAAGTCTCGTCATTGGCTTGTTTGGCCTCCTGGGCATGTCCGGCGTATCTATGACCCCTCTCGTTGGGCGCTTCATTGACCGACTGGTGCCCTGGTATGCTACGCTCTTTTCCACTCTAGTTCTCCTAGCGATGCAAGGAACCTATTCTGGTGCGGCCGGTGTCAATATTGCCGCCATCGTCATCGTTACCATTGGACTTGACATCGGGCAGCAGATGCAGCAGGTTTCCCTCACGACGTCAGTCTATGGGTGAGCTCTCGGTTTTTCAAAGTTTCTCGTACTATTCCGACACATTGCACCATAGTATTTCCCAAGCTGCTAGAGCACGATTGAACGCGGTCCTTATCCTATCTGTGAGTTTCGGCTGTGACACGACCGCTTCTGCTCACTCCCACCGTGAATAGATCTTCATCGGTCAAGTAACGGGCACGTCTGTGGGCACCAGAATCTTCGTCTCATATGGTTGGCGCGCATCTGCTGGGTTGATGCTCGGGTGGACCGCATGGCAAGTGGCGGTGCTGCTCGCACGCGGCCCTCACTGTGAGCGTTATACGTGGTTTGGGTACGAAGGCGGGATAGAATGGCGGAAGAGCGCAGTTGAAGAGCGTGCATTTGACACTGAGAAAGGAAGAGAGATTGATCAAGTAGCGGCAGTGGTAGCCTCAAAAGATGAAAAGCACGGACCTACGCCGTCCCCGGAAGTGTAGTAGACTGCACTTACGGCTGATACTCACGAAGTGGTGCCTAGATGAAACAAATGGAACTTACCCTCAAGCCTACCCTGTGACAGCATCCGATCATACGTACCTTGCCATTTAAACTATTCACCATAATAGTGGGTAGTAAGCGGGCTATCTAGTCCGGCGTTATTCCCAGTTATTCCACGGCCAGAACACATGGGAGCAGGGTCCTCGGCTCCAACCTTCTGCTCATTAGGCTCCGTGGTCAGGCTCGGTAGCCCAATTATTAGATAATCGTTATATTACTGTCCAATCATATTGCGGCAGGGATAGAGCTTGCGCTCTGTCCCGTCCCTTCGCACTCTCACGCGTCTGCTAATTCTAGTCCCCACTTCGCCCCATAACTACAGATAGTATAGGGCACGGCTTCATGACTTCTTGCCCTTTGACTGATACAGACCCACATCTTGGCATCATACGAGCTTCCAAGCTCCCAGTTCTGAGTGGTGCTACCGTGATTAAGTGGCTGCCACGCTACAGTTGGAGCCGCCACCATAATTAATTACAGTGATACCAAGCATTACACGAAACCCCATTATCATGGTGCTTGCTTCCTTTCGCTACCGCCCTCTGACCATATCATTGAGAAACATCTTCCGTGACTCGTTGCAAAGTTGTCTTCCCTTCCCATGGGTGGGCCCCGCTGTCGGATAGGAATCATAGGATGTGAGGACCAGTGAGGTTGTTGAGCTCGAGGTATTTCGTGTTCTTCCAGTTCGCATGCACTAGTACTTGCCTGAGTTTAGGAAGTAATCTCCGAGTCGTGCTCGTATTCCGTTTCTCTTCTAGCTCATCTTCCTTAGAACGGTACATCATAGTACGCGCTATGTCAACAGGGAAATGTTGGGGGCTATATTTGTACCGTTACAGTAACCAATGCTGGGCGTCTCTGCCATCCACGACTATGCTTCCAAGTCCATACGCTACTGTAACAGCATTCCATTCATCCAGCCGTTGATTGACGCCGGTAAGTGCGCCTTCATACTAGGAAACGAACTTGCCACCCGTATTGGAAGTTCTCATTCAAGGTACGCCAATAGGCTTCATCGGTCGTTCGCCACGGTGCACGCAGGTCCTACGCCGTGGACCTTGCGGATAAGTGTGTTGCGCACGGGGCTTTCTTCATCCGTTCAGGGATTTCGCCTGTTACACCTGATTGTAGAAATTCTATAAAGAGGAGGGAGGTCGCATTAGTACTAACTCCATCGAAATCAGCGATGCGTTTCTCAACTCTTACTCTCTTCATTATCCTTCCTGCTGCAGCATACGCAGCAGTGTGTCCCCAACAGTTTTCAGTGGTACACAACGGCTGCGCTGAGAGCGGCGAAGAATGCACTCCCTCCCTTGACTGCTGTGGAGACGCCGGTGTATGTTGGTGGCACGGCCACGATTCTGGAGTATGTCCCAGTCCTAGTACATACACTCTGCCTCTCGCTGACCGGCGGAATGTTAGATTTGCCTCTAAGAGCACCACGTCATCGGTGATACGGGGAACGTCCAGGTCGCGGGTTCGTAACTCTTGAAGTGTTATACTTTCTTGGTGGGCATATGTCGGAAGGGGGCTTGGAGGGGAGTGGATCTTGGGATGGTTTCTCGCATAAGGCGGGGCGGCATCTCTTTTGATCGTTTACTGGATTTCTGTAAAAACTCTCATCTGTCTTCATCAATTTGTGAAGGGCCCCTGCTAGTTTTAAGAATTGAGAGAAAGGGATTGAACTCACAACACGGCAGCCATCAAGGTAGCTGGCCGGAGACCCGGACGCCGTCGAGAAGAAGTTCTTCGACGTCGTACTACTTGACCGTCTAAGGGGGAGGGTTGGTGATCACAGTATGATTGTGACACCATGTCTGAGTGTTTCAAGTTAAGGAGAATCCGAATAGCGACTCTGACGAAACAAGGAACAGGGAAAAATTACCGCGAGTGGAGCCGCAATTTGTGAACTCAACTCGCTACCTGGCCTGGCCCAGGTGCTGCAGGCATGTGACAATCGGACTGAGCTTTATATGTTGGTCAAGAGATCTACTATATAGCTAACCAAGGATTGTCGGCACCGAACGGCTGACAGACCGAGGGAAAAGGGCGGGACGCGCGCAAAAGGACGCATCTCGTAGTTTACACACTACCCAGGTACCACCGTATGTGACATGATGATGCCTCGCATCTACGAACTTGTCAAAGAAAAAAGGATTGGAAAAAGGAATGGGGTCAGGCGGTGGGTCAGGAAATGGCCGATGGGGCAAAGGGATTGGATGCACGGTGGCGCAAATAAGGATACAGAGCGACATGACGATGGGAAGATAGATGATGGTGGAACGGGAGAAAACAGCAGCCCAAGCAGCCACAACAACAGCAATGTTCCCGCGGGGCCAGAAAGAAGGTTAGGGACATGAGCAGGTCCTCCAACCCGAAATGAAAAGATGAAACCAAAAAGTTGCAATGTGAATTCAGCTCAGGCCACCTATGCCTTGAGCAGCTCTTCGACGACCTTATCATCCGGGATCTTGGAGATGTTAGCGCCTCGGTAGTTTAACCTCCGCAACACGTCGATCTGTGCCGAGCGAGATGATAA